TCTCCTCCTGCCTTCAATCTTCCCGGTATCAGGGTCTTTTCCAATAGCTGTGTCTTAACCAAGACACTGATATTTCAGGAAAATATCAGTGCCATTCTCACTATCTTGTTGGCTGCATGCATGCATGTTAAGTCTCTTCAGTCATATCCAACTCTTTGCAACCCTGTGGACTGTAGCCTATTAGGCTTCTCTGTCCATGGGATTTCCCAGACAAGAATACTGGAGTTGGGTTGCCATTTCCTTCTCCAGGGGACCTTCCCGACCCAGGGATTGAACCCACATCTTATGTCTCCTGCATTAGCAGGCAGGTTCTTTACCACTAGCGCCACCTGGGAAGCCCATCTTGTTGGCTAGTTTCTATCAATACAACCTTAACTCAAGCCTCCGAAAGATTCTTAAGAACTAATAATTAGGATACTCTGCAGAATTTTCAAATCCTAACAAAAAGACTGCCTAGTCTGTCTGCAATAACAGCATTGACCAAGATTTAAAATAACATAACAGCTAACAAAAATTCCAGTGTACTGGGCTTGCATTATCTAACCTGACCCTTTCCTTAGACTAATTTCAGAATTCTCTTTTGACTGGGGGTGCGAGGGTATATGCACAATTGCTCAATTGGTTTCTTGGTCCCTGTAGAATCTTCTTATTGATTTTCATTTGTTTCTGTTTCACCTGATGGAGTTGGGGTGGCAGAGAGATTTTAAAATCTGTCTAACTTAACCACAGAAGGTTAGGTGTTATCTTGTTAAAACTGTTTTGTGCATGAGAAAAAAAAAAGAAAATTGGAAAGGTTAGGAGAGTTGTGTATGGCAAATTTCATTTTATAGATTGAAAATTTAAAAATTTTCAGTATGCTATCCACTAGTCACAGTAGGGACTTCTTTGTGCTCGAATAGTAAAGAATCTGCCTGCAATGCAAGAAGACCTGGGTCCATCTCCTGGGTTGGGAACATCCCTGGAGAAGGGAAAGTCTACCCACTCCAGTATTCTTGCCTGGAGATTTCCCTGGACAGAGGAGCATGGTCGGCTGCAGACCATGGGGTCACAAAGAGTTGGATACGACTGAGCGACTGACACTTTCACTTTTAAGTCACGATAGACTATATTTAAATTAAGTGAAATTTAAGAGTCAGCTCTTCAGCCATTTTAGCCACTTCATCATAAGTGTTTTATATCCACATGTGGTTAATGGCTACCCTATAGTTACAGAAATTGCTACAGAAATATTGTGGAATGTTTCTATTATTGCAGAAAATTCTACTGGACAGCTCTGCTTTTTAACTTCCAATCTAATACTGGTTCCACTATTCCACTGTAGTGCCTATTGAAACATTTTTCATAGCCACGGAATGCCTTCCAGAGCAACTCAGCTCCCTGTAACTTTGTGTGCATACCTTTTTAAAAGCAACGTATTATTGCATTCCAAAGACATGCCTAGGATTATTAAAGCATATTGCAATGTCACTCTACTTAAATTATCCACACAGGATGCATAATTACCACCTTAGGTCTTTTAATATACACTTCCCTTAATTTTGCATTTTTCTTAAACATATCAATTTGCACTTAACCATAAATAATAGAGTGCTTAGCTCATACATATCAATGAGAATCCCCTTCAGAAATGAAAGATTGCTTGCTTAATACCAAAGAGTATTTTGGAGAACATCAAATCCCTTGACAGATGCTTGTTGCCACAAGGATTTATTTTCTTCTGCTTGTAACTAAAATAGCATCAGTTGCATTTTGCTATTTAACAATATTGGAGGAGAAGGTTATAGCAAAATGATTTACAAATAGTAATTGCATTCCCCAGCTTACCTATTTCCATACATTAGCACAAAAAGCTTAATTTGGGTTTAGATATCAGGCCCAATGGTAACAATATTTGTATCTTCACCAATCACACAAGTAAGTGTTTGCCTTTGTATTGGGTAAAAATATATCACAAATTGTTTTATGCCCTGACATTCACATTTTTTTTCACTTGATTTTGACTTTACCCATTGGCAAAAGGAACATCTGTCTAGAAGTTGTGATTTCAGCACCTTGAACCCCCACCATTGTCTTCATTATTGATTGATGCCTGAAATTCCTTCTAAAAGTTCCATTTCTTTAACCATTCTTCATATCAAAGTGAAAATATCTCTGGAGTAGGGCAATATTATTAATAGAAAGTGATAATTCAGCTAGGACCTGAAGGATGTGTGTCAATTTTCTAAGTGGAAATTGGGAAGATAGGACAGAGATGTGATAAGAGCTTTCCAAATGGAAGAAAAACATATGCAAAGACAGAGTGATCTCTCTGGGAGACGGCGATTTTTGTGTAAGTCCAGCTATGTAAAGGATAGCCCTGAAAATGAAATTGAAGAAATAATCCAAAGCCAAGTTAAGAAGGGCTCTGGTTGTATTTATAAGGCTTTTGGACTTTAGTTTACTAGCAGGAAGGGCATTGCAAGAGTTTTTAGCAGAGGAACACTGTGAAAGCTTTGTGCATGTGAAAGGTTTCTCCAGCAACGATATGAAAGATAGATGGGAGAGATATCAGTTAGGCGTTTCATTGGTAAGACCAAAGTAAAAGATTTCGAATGTGAGAACAAGATGGTGGAAGTGGCATTGAAAATGGATCAGTGTCCAGGGATTCAGGAGACGTTTGGAAAGTACCCAGCCTTTCATCCTTCACCTATGTTATTTTTTTCCTTCACCTATTTTGATATGAATGATTCAGTCGAGTCCCTGTGTTCTTTCTCAAACTTGTACATAGAGCACCTTTCTCTTACTACACTTAGATTTGCTGCTTCTCCCACCTCCCTTATTTAGCCCAGTTAGTACACAGTATGTGCTAAGTCGCTTCAGTCATGTCCGACTCTTTGTGACCCTATGGACTGTAGCCCATCAGGCTCCTCTGTCCAAGGAGGACATTGTCCAGGCAAGAACACTGGAGTGGTTGTCATTCCCTCCTCCAGGGGATCTTTCTGACCCAGGGATCGAACCCACATCTCCTGTGTCTCCTGCATTGCAGGTGGATTCTTTACCGCTGAGCCACCGGGGAAGCCCTCTCCTCTACAGACACATAAACAATTGAGAGGAGAGGAGAACGAGATAGCGCTTACCAGATCTGAAAATCATCTGGAGCTTTTGAGAAAAACAGACTCTTTGATCCCAACTATGGAGTTTCAGATTGACTAGGTCTTGATGGGATCTAGATATTTGTTTTTGTTGTTTTTGTGTGTTTTTGTTGTGTGTGTGTATGTGTGTGTGTGTTTACTTTCAGCTGATTCTGATGGCTAACCTGGTGTGTTAAACTATAGGCAGAGTTTCTAATTCTAACCTTAATCTTGTCTAACTCTGTGATATCAGGCAAGGCACTTAATTGTGAGGGTCTCAGATTTCCCCATTTGAGAAATTACAGTACCAAAGTAGATGGTGCTGAGGTGGTGTGCACCCATCAGTCATGGGGTTTACCCGGCTGAGGTCACTTCCTGGGTCTTAACTGATTCCTCATCCTGGGAGTAGAGTGTGTATTTTTTTTCCCCAAATATATTACTTGTATCTTTCATACTTATGGTCCCTGTCACACTACCTGGAGGGGTCCTCTCGCGTGGGGATTCTCCCTGTGGGCTGGGTGGGCACACAACGAGAGAAAATGAATGGCTGGTGCTCTCGCCCACAGGCAAGCGTGGTGAGAGCCTCTGTGGAGCACAGATGGTGGTAGGTGGCTGAGGGTGTGTGTGGGGGGCTTTCTGAGAAGCCTGTGGGCCAGCATCAGCTGTGGCCCTGCCTCTTGCCAGTTTTTCGCCTACGGATCCTCCTTGGTTTCTGAGCCACACCCCAGGTGTGCTACAAGCTTGTGATTCATTAGACAAGTTTTCTGTGTCCTCTTCTTCGATGGGGAGCTGGTAGGAATTTTTCTAGCTAGACAGTAAACTCCCTCTTCCTTAACCACTATGGATAAAGAATCATGAGGCTCAGTATTTAAAAAGATAATAATTTTGTTCTCCATTTTGCTTCCTGACTTTACTTCATGGGAAGAAGTTGTTTGTGGAACCAGCAGTGCTGAACTGGGCTGCAAAGTGAATCAAAAGATGAGCCACTTACCCAGAATGAGACCCAGAGGCCAGACCTGATCAGTGTGGGGTCCTCCCACCTGCTTCTTAGTCCCTTGTGGGTATCCTCCCTTCTCAGCAGCAGTGCTCACCTGGGATTCTGCAAGAGGATGAAGCCCTAATACCTTGAGACATCTATAATGAGTAAGGGATTCATTTCTCCCCTATAACTCTAGAATGGTATTATTTATGTACCATCCCTGGTAGAATTGAAAGTTGTTCAAATCACTTTATGTGTTCTGAGGATCAAAGAGGAACCTAGCTGAGAAAGACCTATGTCTGCTCCCCAGGGCCCCAAGGGACACCACATTTGGACATTATTCCCTGAGGACTGTAGTGCTTTCTTTCACAATCATGACTCCTCCTCCCAATGGCACCCTATCCCTTCCTCCTTCCCCACCCCGACATCATCACTCCCCCAACAACCCCACACCTTCCCGCAAGTTCTCAGAGCTGTACAGTGCAGAAGGGAGGAGACCTTGAATAGCACTCCCAGAATAGGGTAGGTTTAGCAGGGTAGAGAGTAGAAAGAGAGACGAAAACTAAAGGAAAGGACTGAGAAAGAGAATCGAGAACAAGACTGGCTTGTACTGACAAAGAGCAAGAAGTTGGACCCGATCCATGACATAGGCCTTCTCAGATGGCTCAGTAGTGAAGAATCCACCTGCCAATGCAGGACACATATGAGATGCTGGTTCAATCCCTGGGTCAGGAAGATCTCCTGGAGAAAGAAATGGCAACCCACTCCAGTATTCTTGCCTGGGAAATCCCATGGACAAAGGCGCCTGCTGGGCTACAGTCCATGGGGTCGCAAAGAATCAAACATGACTTAGCCACTAAACAACAAGAACAACAACAAATCCATGACATATTTCCTAACTAGTGGCCTACCTGGATTCTGCCTGGCATCTGAGGTTGCAAGACTGAGGTGGACAGGCACTGCCTCTGCCCTCGTGGGGCTTGCATTTGAGCAGGGAAACATTGCATCAAATGGTCATCCAGATACATCATTATCAATGTCAAAATGACAGCATGTGCTAGCTTCTGTGACAGCATAAAACAGGGGGGTCCTGGGATAGTCAGGGGAGCCTGGGAAAGCTTTCCTGAAGATGGTCCATTTCAGGAGAGACTTCAAGGATGAGTAGATACACACAGACATGAGGATCACAGTGGAAGTTAAAGTACTCCCAGGGGAATAAACAGGAGCCTGAGTAAGTGGATTTTTCAGTGACAAAGAGGAGTAGGAAGGAGGGCAAGGTTGCTTGATTCTTTGTTTCCTTTTGTGTAAATTCCAGAAGGAATCTACTGAGGGGGCTGTCTTAATACTTCTCATCAAACCCAGGTAGATGTAGAATTAAGTTTATGCTTTGAAGTGGCTGCAGTCTGCACTGAAAAATGGGCAGTAAGCCAGCGTCTGTGCAAAAGCTCTAAGCCCACAGAGCCCAGCACTTGCTTTTCTGGAAACTTCTACCACACTGTGAGTTGGAGTGGCAGCTGTTGCCCATGATTGTGTCCATGCCAGGCAGTTTTACTTATAGCCCTGGCCCTCAAATACAAGCAAGCACAGACTGGCACAATTTTAAAGCAAAATTACAACCCAAGAATGGAAAGTGGATGGATGGGTATAGAATGTTATCAGCTCTAAAGAGATCTCTGCTTCTTTTTGTAAATTTCCTTTTAAATTTTTTATTTAAACTTTGCAAACCTTTTCTACCTCTTTTTATTTCACTTGATAGCTACACACCACCTCCGTTTTACAGGAGACAAAATTATGTTATGGCAAAATTAAATAACTTATCAAAGTTCACAAGACCATATTCTTTAGTTTTCCTCACTGGTTCTTATTCAAGAGTAACACTCTAATTAGGATTCAAACCTTCCATTTAGAGAAAAATAGCAAGAAAAGTGAAATCAGGAAGTCCAGAAAGACAAATCTAAGACAAGATTTGGCCTAATTTCTTACACATTCTCCACCATCTCAACTCCTATATAATGAAAATTTATATTCTCAAGAATAATCCCATGCTGCCTTGTAAATCATCGAAGAAAGATTTAATTTAGTTCAGAGCCATTAAGTGTGTTTTATTGTACTCTGAATCATTGGTATGGGATACATATGACAACGCTTAGGAGGCTAGACTATCACAATAAAAAGAGAAAATCAATTTTCAGCTTTTTTTATATATATAAACTGTTGATCACTATACTAGTCCATTACCAGAAACTGAAAAACACACCCAGAAGCAGTCCAGATGTTGGAAATACCAGAGGCTCTTTAACTAGTCTGTAATGCTTTACTGAAAAGTATGACTTTTCTAGACCATCTTTAAAGTAGCAAAGTGCACACAAGTGAGAGATCTATGTATTCCCATGCAGCAATGAAAGAAATAGCTGTCTCCTAAAGACCCAGATAATTCTAGCCTTCAACAACTCGATACAGCCTACAATGTAAACTGGTTTTCACACAAGAGCTTCCCTAAGAAAATATAATTTACCAAAAATTGAACAAAGTCTGGAAGGGATGTTGACATGACAGTAGTTAACTCTGCTTACCAAAGGACTTAATAATTAAATGTCAGCTACCCTGGTATATTTAGGTGATTGTTTATGAGGCTTTGGCAGTTTGAAAATTGGAGTGAGTGGGTAAGTGGAGGGCAAAGAAATGTACTTGCAAGCTACTGCCAAGAAAAATTATCTTTGAAAATGTAAGCTCCCCTCCCCCAACAAACACAAGCTTATAATGACCTGCAAGTTCTCAATCCAATCTATGCTGACATCTGAGGTGCCCCTCTAGTAGACATGGACTGTTTTGTTGTCAGTAGAATGACACAGGTTTCAATATGAAGGAAAAGCATAAGTCTAGGGAAATTCATTTATATCTTTTTTTAAGAAGGAACTTTTCTGTTTTGTATCAGGGTATAGCCAATTAACAATGTTGTGACAGTTTCAAGTGAACAGTGAAGGAACTCAGCCATATATGCACATGTCTTTATGGTAGGTCCTTGTTGGTTATCCATTTTAAATATAGCAGTATGTACATGTCCATCCCAAACATCCTATCTCTTCCACCCATCCATCACCCAGGCAACCATAAGTTCATTCTCTAAGTTGTGAGTCTCTTTCTGTTCTGGAAGTTCGTTTGTACCATTTCTTTTTAGATTCCACGTATAAGGGATATCACAGGATATTTCTCCTTCTCTGTCTGACTGACTTCACATGAAATTCGTTTATATCTAACAGGAAGAGAGGGAGCCTCTCCATTCTGCCTTTGCCCATGCAAGATTGAGAAATGTATCTGTAGAGTATATGGTGGTGATAGAGTATACACTGGCAATGGTAGTGATATGACATATGTATGTTTATACTAAGACAGAGAAATGTCCCCAGTTAGTTGGATCCAATTATACAGAGTAATATTGAGATGAGTCGTCTTCTGATCACAGATTATAAGACAATGAGCACATTTCTTTATCCTCAAAATGTCACTTTCCTTTTTCATGAAGTGGAGATATGAGGAATAACCACTTCAGAGAGTTTTCTTGAGTGGTAAGTAACATAAGAGTATACAGTTAACACTAAATGAGTATCTGGGAGAAAATCCCATTTAAGGATTAGATTAAAATGGTTTAAAGCCTTGGAAGGTCTCATCTGGCAAATGTTTGATATCAGACTGATCTACAAGAGAGTCATTTTGTGCATGCTCTCTGCCTTGTAAATGGAAGACTTTCCCTTTTAAATTGAATTCCACTGTAATATGAATCACAGAGGACCACTGGGGAGAAGACTTTTTGAAATATCATTGGTTACATCTTATCAGCAAGTAGTATGTTGATGCATAATTACTTATCATTACTGAAATACATCATTTCAAAAAGTATTTCCCAACTGCTTCTTTTCCTCTTATAAATGTATTATCCATATCTATATAAATAACAGTTCACCATATTCTTTCAAAGAAATCCATTGATTCTAGTAAGTTATTAGACACATGTAACTGTTGCTCAAGCAATAATCTTGAAACGCCTCACTCAGGATTTCTGGAAACTAACTCTGCGGATGAAGGATGAACAAAAATACCATTCCATCTGTTAGCCAAACTGACTGCACCAAATAATTTGGGACTTAATTACAGAGTTGGTTACATTTTCAAAATGTGATTTCTAAAGGCTGGACATTTTATTTAAATATCTTTGTGTTTATTTCCTCCAAGGACCATCAGTGGTGGTTACAAATTGCAGTTTTAGAGCCACTCGCTCTTAAGGACCCAAAAGTTAGGCTCTAGGGTTAGGATTAAGGTGTAGCAGGAAATGGGAATAATTATGGTCTCCTTTGGCTTTCCACCTTTTCTCTGCCCCTCCTCCCAACCTGAACTAGTTGTGAGCAGCTCCACATTATCTCACTTACAAACAGATGATCAGATAGAAATGCAGACACCCAGTTGACTTTGAATTTCAGATGAACAACAATTGCTGGTGTAAATATGTCACATGCAGTATTTGTGACATAGCTACATTAAATACAATTCATTGTTTATCTGAAACTCAAATTTAGCTGGATGTTCTGTGTTTGTATTTACTAAATCTGGCAACCCAACCTCCAGGACAACTATTTTGTCAAGATACTGGTTTGAAAAATAGTATCAAAGTCATAGATATGTTAATTGAAAAGTCCTAAAGACCAAACGCTTCAAGATCTCCAAAAATGAACCTCTTTTGGTCGTACTTTGGGCACATTTGAAAGATGGTTAGAGAGATGTTTCAGGTGGGAAAGCCTTTCTTTGGTACCTAAGTTTAGAACATAGAGGTGGCATTGATTCCTTGTACTCATAAGCCTGGTAGAGGGAGAGTGGGAGGGAGGAAGGAAATAAGATTAAACCTAGTAAGTGTTGTATTTTATTTTCTATTTTTTTATTTAATTTTTATTTTATATTATAGTTGGTTTGCAATGTTGTGTTTGGTTTCATGTGTCCAGCGAAGTGATTCAGTTAAACATTTGTTGCTACTGTTCTTGTGCTCAGCTGCTTCAGTAGAGCTGGAGTCTTTGAGACCCTTTGGATGATATACCCCATCAGGCTCCTCCGTCCATGGGATTTTCCGACTGGAATAATGGAGAGGGTTGCCATTTCCTTCTCCAGGGGATCTTCCTGACCTAGGAATCGAACTTGCATCTCCTTTCTGACTCTTTCTCATATAAGTTATCCCAGAATATTAAGCACAATTCCCTGTGCTATACAGTAGGTCCTTGTTGATTTTCTATTTTATAGATAGTGGTGTGTATGTTAGTCCCAAACTCCTAATTTATCCCTCTCCCCACCTTTCCTCTTTGATAGCCATAAGTTTGTTTTCTAAATCAGTGAGTCTGTTTCTGTTTTGTAATAAGTTCATTTGTATCATTTTTTATTAGATTCCACATATAAGTGATATCATATAGTATTTGTCTTTGTCTGACTTACTTCACTTAGCATGATAATCTCTAGATGCATCCATGTTGCTGCAAATGGCTTTATTTGTTTTTACTGGCTGAGTAATATTCTCTATTTTCAAATTTTAATCATCAATATCAACAGTGTAAGCAGAGAGGGAAGAAGGCTAACTTGCCAACAGATCCTTTTGGTTACTCAGCCAAAAGTCATGGAATTGTTCTTGACTCTTAACTCTTCTTGACTATTTCTTTCACATTCCAAATCCAATCTAACAGTAAATGTTGTCAACTCTATCTTCAAAAATAAAGGCAAGAGGCTGTCCACTTCCTACAACCTCTAGTTTTGTCCATAATGCCATAATTCCTTTTTTTATTTAAAGTTTTCTATTGAAGTATAGTTGATTTACAATGTTGTCTTAGTTTCAGATGCAGAGTGATGTGATTCAGTTATACATACATATATATGTTTTTCATGTTAGTTTTCATTAGAGGCTGTTACAAGATACTAGACATAGTTCCCTGTGCTATAGAGTAAATCCTCATTTATCTGTTTTGTG